GCATTCGATGGGGATTTGGTCGAGCTTTTACGACCCCCCCCCTTTTTCAGGGCTGGTACGACCCCCCCCTCGTACGATGGCTGACATGGCTGACTGTGGTTGTGGTTTATACTCGGCGAAAAAGTTGTCGAGCGGGGGGTATGTAGTAGGCATGCGACGTACATCGTACGGGCGTACATAGCGCTGTCAAACCGTTCTACGTAACGCGCGACTTATATTCGTCTCCAATTGAGAACGCAGAGACATAGAAATATGAACCTGTGGACAAGCTTTAGGAAAGGATCAAGCCCTATCCTACACTAAACGGTTCCCGCTGGAATCATACTTATTGTCAGACTAACCTCGCTTTCTGCTGTGTCGTAGTTTCATTTTCACTACATCAATTTATCATGAATTTGCAGAGAGGCGGAGTTACGGCACTCCACGGCGAGACACGGGAACGAGGCAGTGCTTCACTTATTTGCCACAGCTTTTCGCAGTAGTGACACCTGCACTTACGACCCCATCCCATGTACTACCCGCATGCAACATACGACCCCTTCGTCGCGCGTTCCGCGGAGCACTGACCCTGACTCCTCACCCCTGCCTCCCTTCAGTCACGTTTGCACTTGATAGACATTTTGACCAGGAAACAACCACCATTAAGCACGCTATAACAACCAGGAGTCTCGGTTTGACTTGAGGAGTGCATCCTCTACTAGCAAAGGGTCTGGAGTAAAAGCGCCAGTGATTAAGCCAATTAAAAACAAGCTTGAAACAAAATTGAATCTTCACTATCTCCTTCGGCACAATCACAGCCATCTTATTTGCCTTTGCTTAATTACGATTAGCGAAGTATCCACACCGTAAACATGAATCAGACGTGGATACGGTAGCGGCAATGAGTACGCAATTGCACGGCGTGATTGGTGGTATTTATAAATAACATCTGCTGTCTAAACGAAGCCGAGGTAACCTCTTTGAATAACTTTCCCGCGCGCACCTGTTTGAATCGGCGCCGAGGTGCCGGGGAAGGGAATTCTGTGCAGGACCAACCGTGGGAAACAAATTTTCGGCAAGTAGGGTGTCTTTGAAGGACCATAACTTCCTCAAAAGCAGACCTATGGGGAAGGGGAAAGCGTATTCGTGTAGAGGAAGGTTTGATCTTCCTAAAAGTGCTAAAATCTTCATGAAGGTCGCAAAAATCACAGAGAAATTGCCTTGGGGATTCGTTGGGGATTTTTTTTGGAAACAGGTTTGAATCAATATATTTTTTTGTAACTCAATATTTCACAAATCTGAGAACGGATTCGAGTGTATGAAGACTTGCTCTTTCTAAAAACCTATTGAACTGTTTTGGAAGTCCTCGGGATTCATGAGATCTGGCGTTGGGGATTTGTTGGGGAGTACTACGAGCTCGTGAAAAACCCGTTTCCTGTGTACCGTTTCAAGTGAACGTGTTCGAATAACCAGGAACGCATGTAGAACGTATCCTGTGGTGGAGCAGGAGCAGAATATGGTTCGTTCAGAGCTGATCACGCCAACTCTGGATGCGCCGCGCACTGAGGTCCGCGCAGAAGTGATGGGATGGTGCAACTTGTGCATAATGTGTGTCCACGCGCGCAAATGTGTCTGTAGGATTCAGGGAGGTCCATGGCGAACCTGTGCACTTGTCTACAGTGTTTTCCTTGCAGATGATGTAGCGTGTCCGTGTCGACGCCGCCAGATTCTGTGCTCCGATAGTTGCTGATTCCGATAAAGGAGACCAAGTGCTGGAAAACGTCTGGTACGAACGATATGGTAGTCCTGTCGTTTGTCAGAAAAAAAAACAGGTTGGCTCAGCGCCAAGCGTGATCGCGGACACGCCCCATCATCCGCAGCAAACCAGAGTATGAGTTGTAGTGTTTAATCACTTACGAGATGTTGTCGACTTATTAATAATTCCAATTATTTCGGATTAGTTTGATGGATGAAAGTTTTGTACTCATTTTTTACATATCCGAGTTCTCTACGAAGCAAGTTCCGCTACACAGGATTCAGCACACTGACACCTTTGCGCTGCTCGATACTGGCTACCGCACTCATTACGACCCCCCCCTCTCTGGCGGCCAAATACGACCCCCCCCTATGGGGATTCCCCAACCCAATGCTTGCCTGCTCCGCGTCGCGGTCATTGCGCGGCGTGCGTTGATCGATTGAATGTGGATTCCTGTCAGATGATATTGACAATTAAGTTCTTCTGTAATAGAAGAACTTAATTGTCAATATCATCTGAAAGGAATCAGAACGCACGCAGCGGCCGCGCATGACGCCGCGACGCGAAGACGACTGATTTCGCTGGCGTGAAATGTACGTTTGAATTAAGTTTCTTCGAAGAGGACGGGCTCTTCTCTAGCTCGTTCATAATTCGCGACCCGAACGTGCCATCCAAGCGATCGAATCGCGAAGTATTAAGGTCTTCCAGGTGAGATGTAGCGTTATATAGCGTTACATTCGAGTTCGCGACAAAAAATGTGTCGTATTGATGTGGGCAGCAATTCGTGCACGGCCAACCGCAATTTGCAGTCGATATGCTGCGGCGTATCGGTTATGTGCGTCTGTCCGCCTCACGTCAACCTAGCTAGGAAAAGATGGTGGTCCGTGGCGCGAATCGGTGGTAACGCTATTCAGCCGCGCCCAAGGGCCAACGTTTCTAATGGCTACGAAGCAAGACAGTCGTCCGCGCGCCACCGCGCATGACATTTGGGACATCTGTTCCCTTGAAGCAGTTGGAACGAGAGATCTCTAGGACATGTAGGACTAATACTCCTAGCAGAACAAAATTCGCGCCCCTGAGCAAGGGCGCGTGACGCTTTTTTCAAGGAAGATACCCTTATAGTGACCTATCACGCTATATCATACCGACGCCAAACGCTCATGCGTCCGCCCACGCCACAAATGTCCGACATCCTGATGCTTTTGTCGCTCATTTGCGAAGAACAACATGAGGCTAAGGGATTGACATGAGGCGGCCGCGGCGCTGCAACGGTATATGAGTGCAATCGTATCTACCGTAGAGATTATTGGCACGATGCCAACGGGGATCTTCGTCCAAAGTCGCTTTCTGAGTGGTTAATAAGCCAAAGGCTTTTCTTCAGGTTTTGACCATTTCACTTCGCTTTTTCGCCACTTTCCCATTATTTAGCACCCCTGCTACCTTTATGGACAGAGCACCAAATTATCGGGCAACTGCCCTTGAGTGTGAGCGAGAGAGCGAATTTCCTCTGGCTCGAACTCCCTCTGCCTTAGCTGGAATATTTATCGAGGTCCCATTCCTGGTTCCAATGGCCTCAAGTTTTTCCTGCCCGAGAATTATACGCCAATTTGCAGCTTTATCGGCTAAGCTGCGGAGCTCACAACATTTGACGCGATCCTTTGATCGCAGGGTTTCGTCGGTCCCCAGTGGTGACCAAAGATAGCTATCCAAAGGAGTCGCATCCAAAATGCGTTTGTTGATTTCCGTATTCAGATAAGGATCGACAACTCCAGAAAAGACTGTTATGCGTTCATATAGACGAACAGTTGGTCATTAATTGGCTATCTCACATCATTTCCGCATAAAACAGAGTTGGCAAAAACACCTTCCTTTAGTGGGATTGTACCACGACCGCATGTACGATCGCGGCAGTGCGTTGCGATGCGCATTTCGTTTAGCGATCCCTGTAAAGTTTCTAGAGACATGACGAACGTGTAACACAACCACATGCGATATTGGTGCGTTATAGCTGCGGTACGACAGGATGTGTATAGGACAACCATCATGCCCTTTGAGGCTACCGTTATTGCTTCGATGCCTCAAGCTCGAAGCTGTCGGCGAACTACTTGAAAGCTCTCTCACTTTGATTGAGCCACTTCAAGATGGAATGTATGAAATGTTCTGCCTAAGTAGGGAGGGGGGAGCGAAGTGTTGTGGTGCGTCTGCTGTCTGATCTCGAGAGGAAAGACGCAGAGCAAACAGAATTAGTTGTCTCACGAGCGAAATGTAGCGCGCTGCAGGTTAGTGGCCGCGGAAACTGTAGTCGCTCACAGTTGGCTTGGCCTTCAACCAATTCAAGAAACTTACATCTATAACTTGCAGATGCGGCTCGCGGCACGCCTCCACTACTGCTCCCCAGCAGACAGATTCTGCGTCACGCGTCCTCGATTATAATTCCAGCCTAGGTCGTGAAAATGTGTCTTTAACATTCATTCCACAGGGAGTGATCAAATGCTACAGCCAAGACCAATGGGAATCCTTTCTATAGGAATGTGAAGTAGAAATATTTCCCGTGCTAGTCCATTTCGATGGTGGAGAGGGAAGGAGGTTACATTTTGTAAACACCTTTCCATATATAGGGCAAGCCCGTAAGATCCTGTAATCCACTGTAAGGCCACGAAAATGTATCAGTTTGATTATGCAATCAACGGTTCACAGCACGGATGACTGTAATTTTGGACATTCCTCGTTAGGCTGCGTTTATACTTTGCGGCAGCTAGCGTAGCGCTTCCAGCGTATGCTAGCGGCAGTGTCGGGGAAAGAATATATATATCGATCTAGCGATCTCAGCGTCACCAGCGCACGCTAGCGAGCGTTTGCAGCGGCGGGACTAGAGAGTATTCTGTACTTTCTTACTCTTCTAATACTCTCTAAGCCGCCGTCCGCTGCAAACGCTAGCGGAAACGCTAGTGGAACGAAGCGCTACGCTGCCGCAAAGTATAAACGCGGCCTTAAGAGTAAGTAATCCACGATCGGCTGCAATCGACGGCGATTGGCCAACTCTTAGCTAATCGCTGTAAATGATCTAGCCCGGCCCGTAAAAAGCAACCCATAGATTTATTTCTCGCTAGGGCGCATAGTAGTTGGATTATAGTCACATTCGCTGCAGATGCTGGGGCGTGTCAGCGCTGGATGTGGTGCGGGACCACCCACCACTTATTGCTGCTTTTTTTTGTTCCAACAATCGGTAGAGAACAGGCTGGGCCCCGCGCCAAACCAAGCCTACCTGACACTGCTCAACATCCGCAACGAACAAGACTGCGAGAAATAATCTGTGAAGAATGAGAACGATGCCAAGAATGACGATCTCGTGAGCCACTGGAAAATGACGACCGTTCCTGGTAAAAAACCTGAGGAATCGAATCATCCACACTGGAGCTTGTTCACCAGCCTCCCCCTTCCTAAAGCAGTGTGAGACTCTTCATTCCTATGACTCACAATCACTTTTTTTATGCAGTACTGAATGCCACCGAACTGCGAACATTCGTAGAAATAGCGTGGAAATGAAGTACAGTCTTAATCGTTGGCTATGATGGGGTGTAGCAGGAAGGCTGAGTTTGGCGCGCGACGCCCGACCGATTGTTGGAGAACAGGCGCCCGCTGGCGCCACGCCAGAACCAGCCTGCCTGACACAGCCCAGCGTCCGCAGCGAAACAGACTCCATGAGAAAGAATATGCAAGATTCACTTGAGCTTCTTAGTGGAAACTTTTATTTGAAGTGCTTAACGAGCTTTAGGAATAGAATGGTGCGCTGATGAGGATTTCATTTGCAGTTACCAGAGCGCAAATTGAGCAAATAAAATCACATTGCAACAAAACAGATATGTAGACTGCTTAGGATCAAATAGTCACACCAAATCGGAGAATATGATGATAATTCGACAAAAAAAAACATGGAAATACACCCGTACCATGAGCATAGAAAAAAATCTTGCACAACACAGAGAAATGCTTTCCTATAGAAACAATGGAAACACTAATCAGAAAGAAAATCGGTAGCTTAGACGGAACTCGTAGTAAAAACACAACAAGGAATCAACGTAAAAGTACAAAGGTTTAGTCAGGTTGTACACTATGTAAGTTGCGCACCAGCCTTCCAAATGCTTACCATGCTGAAAGATTCGGTGCGTATTTGAGGAGCACGCCTGTCCACGGTTTGTAACAGGCATCCTAGTCCGGACGTGTGCATGAGAAAATGCTGAACAAATATTTTTTTAATGGCATTCCAGTCAACGTCGTTGGCTTAGTGGGGCAACAAATGGTTCTAAGGTAGTACGGGAACAACGCGTTGAAGACCATGAGTGCGCTGCAGAAGCAGAAGTTGGCTTTTCTGGATCCATTTTGATGCTTCACGAGGGCTTCACTGGAGGTCTCCCAAAACGAAAGCAGCTAGTTAAAGAGAACTAGGCAGTAGAAAGCCAGCTGTATGTGGCAAAGGCCCCCCTCCCGCCGAAGCTGAACAGCGCCTTGTCATGAATCAGAGTGGAATTTGTTCTCAACTCATTGCGGACGAGACGGTAACATTTGTGACCTTTGACTTAAATTTCTACAGAGCCAACATCAATAAGCACTATTCCCCGCCGATGTGACGAAAATACATCAGATGGGCTCGGTGTAGCCAGGATACTTCATGGGGCTGTGCGAAATGCTGATTATGACTCTCTCAAAACAGTTTCGGTAGCCCCCCCCCCCCTCCCTCTTTCACAACGTACCTATCTTCATACCAATTTTCCCAAAAGATTGCTATGAGAAAACGCGAAGGAAAAAGGGTAGTCTCATCCGACCAACTATCAGTGATGGAAGTTCTGCCTGCCACCAACTACGAAGGGTAAGACGCGCGAGAAAAGGAAAAAAATCAAAAGTGAGAAAAAAATCTCAAGTCCAGATACGAATCTGTCGCGCTCCAGCGGCGTACATGACTTCCTAATCAGATCCGCAAATGATGACGTACACTGGGTGTAGCAGGAGCATTCGCCGTAATATCGGATCCAATTTCATGCCGCGCTTCCCAGAGCGCCCCTCGAGGGCGACTAAGAAAAAACCAACGGGGGAAAGAAGGGAACAACGTAAGGTTAGGTAAGACATGTTAGTTTCTCTACCCTCTTCATGCTTAGTTTTACGCCATGATGATTACCTGAAAAGAGTGACGAAGAGACTAAGACGCGCAGTAACGCCATCTTGAGTCGGAACAAGCATACGGTACGAGAATTACGTCCGAATAACAGTTCTGTTTGTTAAAAATGCTGGGCATGTCAGGGGGCTGCGTCTGGCAGCGCAAGCCTCTCTTACAACGACTATTGTCGGTTTACCGCTTCAGCAAATTGTGGAAAACGTACCCGCACCGAAGCCGGCCCCCTTATACGCGCCAGCATCCGCAGCAAACAAGATTGTACATCTGACTTCTTCAAACTACCAGGCAAATAAGAAGGAGGGGTGTAGAGGAGTGATTACAAGTAAAATTAGATGTGGCTACTCGAAGAGTCCTTCAGGTCATGGAAGGCTATTTCTGAACGGTCTGATTTTTCTGCTTCTTGTAGGAGCACGTGCAGGGACAGCAAAACTGAAGCCCGTCTTCATTGCGCTTCTGGGTATGCCAAAATGGAGTGAGAAAATAATGGGAGGGTCATTTGAGCAACTGCAAAAGAAACCTTCATCACTTTAGCTATCCCTACGTACAACATAGATGGCATTTTGAGTGTAAAAAACCAGTGCCAATTACGTTATAAATGGCTCTTCAAAAGGAATCAGTGAAAAGAGCAAAGCAGTGACTTGAATGTTCTAGGTACCACCAGTGCTGGAACGGTGTGGGAGACAGCACGATGGATTACTGCCAGCAAAGCAAAATGTAATTTGCGAACCTCCGCTCTTAACACATTCCGGACCGCATGACACACATGGTGTGTCACACTTGTCTGCTCCCTGTGGCCGCGTGACACACATGGTGTGTCACGATCTTCAGAGGCTAAAATTTTCTTATATTTTGACTGTTGCACGAATTCTCTGAGTTGTTATATATCCTTGTAGGGGTACGAATTCCTGTGTATGGTTGGGCCATGAAAAGCTCCGATAGTTTATTTGTAAAATATTTTTTGAAGTGTGACCGATTCATAAGACCATCATTCTCTATAAATGCATCGCACATAAAACAATTAGCTGATAGACTGATCTACTGAGGCCACTCACTGTCCCGATCATGATTTTGGCACACTCCTTATAGCGTCCGCTTTATTTGGCGCCACTGGGCGCCAGTTTGGCGCTGCGGCCTTTTGCACCATATCCATTTGAGGAAACATGCGTTTGAGGGATGATCAGGGATTCTAATCACAAAAATGGCATTCGTTCCTGAAGCTGGCGCCAGTTTGGCGCTGCGGCCTTTTGCACCA